TATGCACTGTGACCAGAATAATCTTGAACAATCATGGAGTCAAACAATTTACATGAAAAATTTATCTCTCTCTCAACTAAGATGCACACAGTTTAAAAAAACGCCACAAAACCAAAAATTCTCCACAACACAAAAGATGCTAGTTTTATGTTGTTATAGTGGCTTTGCCCAATCTATTAAAAAAGAGAAACTCAAGTTTCAAAGACTTAAAAGCTTATATTTATATTCCCAGACATTACTACTGAGGAATGAGGCAAGGGAGAGGAATATCCAAAAAACCTCAAAACTTACTCCAACTCCTTCTGTAATTGCTGGAGCTGTTCAGTTATCTTTTTATTTTCATCCTGTAAGTTGTTTTTTTCATTCACTGTGATTTATAGGGAAAAAAAAAAAGAAAAGAAAACACATAAATGCACATGTGAACATCATATCATATCTAGTTTTGTCAGGTCCTTTAAGGAAACAGACGCAATTCTAAAACATAATACTACACACCCTCTATGGCTTACCAAAATGAATTTTCAAGCTAGTCATTAAAAAGGTTGTAAAATGATATTTAGAGAAGGCAAAGGTGTCACAATTACTGGATCATAATATTAGTTCCACACATTCAATAACTACTTTCGTCCATGTACACACAAGTGAGACTGTGTTGTAAAGATGACCAAATTGCTGACTCAGCTCCATGGACAAAATTGCTTATGTTGAAGATAGCCTATGATGTATAAAGTAACTAGAATTTAGTTTTAGCCACTGAAGTGACCAGCTAATTGGAGATAATAGAAAAAAAAATCCCAATTTCTTAAAAAGTCACTTAAGTATTTTGGTATTTAAAAGAGTAGTAAGAAATTCATTTACTTTTCTTAAATTCCAATTCATTCGGCTTGTATTTCACACAAGCTTACTGCCTCACCTTCAGCCTTTTTCCATGCTCTCAAACTAATCAACGTAGTGATAGCTCCCCACTTTCCCATTCATTTCGCTTTTTATTTTCTTATTCTTATTTTTTTCTTGTATACTTTAGCTCTGGATTACTCTTGACTGACCTTTTTTGCTGGTTGCAGGAAATACATGAATTGTCATATAGATCTCAACCCAAATCCATGGAAGACTACTGTTCTGTGAGTGTTCAAGATGATTTGTACCAAATAGGTCTCACTTTGATTTTTAAGGCTCAGAGATTTATTTAAAGATTGGTTGTACCTTGTTTGTTGTTAACCATTAAACTCAAAAATTCAGAATATTTTATATAAATACCCAATATTAATATTAGTATTAATACTAGTACATAATCTAATATTTCTGTAATTTAAGCACTGAAAAGCTACTTTTTGTCTGGTGTTTCACATGTTAAATCTCACTGAACATCTGCCTGTTCTTCATCAAGCAAGACAACCAAATGACACAAAATAATTAAAGGTGAAGATACCATTAACATTTTAAAATCCTGTCTGTATTTTTTAGCACTTTATGCAATCAGTCCTTCCGAACTCTCTTTATGAAGACATTTGTTACACTATGCCTTCATGTCACCCAGAACAGTTTATTTTTTCCTGTCTCATTTGTACAACTTCCTGATTTCAAAATGAGCTGTCTGCAAGCTGCCTGGCATGAAGCAATTCTTTCGTGGCTTCTGAGGGTTATGTGAAGGTTATGGGTTACTGCAGTTAAACTCCAAGACCAACTACAGGACACAAGCTGGACGCAGGGAACTTCTGTTTGAACTTGTTACTTTGTGATCACCATTTACTTCGGAAGTCAGAGTTTCCTTAGGAAAACTGGCAAGCCATCATTATATGCTTTAGCTATAGGAATAAACAAAAGCAGTCACGTTTTATCTACAGTAGCTACTTCACACTGTAAGATTTTCCACGTCAGTTCACTTTCGGTATCAGCACTTTAATCTCAGAAGGTGGGTCAAATGACTAGTAACTGGTATGTCACGTATTTTCAGACTGTAGAATGAAGAATCCCCCGGCTGAACTTGGGGTTACTGAACACACCACATATAAATTATATTGTTACAGGAATTAATGAAGAACTAGTTTACAAAACAGTATGTTTTGTCTTCAGACTCGTAGATATAACTCACTAAGCTCAGTGATAAGTTTAAGATTCTGCTGCCGGATATTTTCAAACTCTTGCTGCTTCTTTCTCATATGTTCTTCGGTTACAGCACAGCGATCACATAATCCTGCTCTTAATCTACAATACAATTAAGAGAAAAAAGTCCGTCTTAAGAAAATATTGCAATACATGAAGCAGATGTCCACACTTAACTGGCCTTTCGAACAAGAAAAAACAGAAAATTTGACAACTATGCAGAACACCACTAAGTACTGTGGTTTTATATGTTGACATAGCAACATTTTGTGATTTTCGAACAATCTACTACTACATGTACTAACATTTGCATAAATGACTGTAGGTACTAGATACTTCTAAATCAACATGGATTACTTTATTGAAGTGGAGCATGCTACACCTTGCCACTGAAAGCCTTTGTGAGGTGTTCTACTAAGGATACTGACGGATATAAACAAATTACCATTCATTATAAGTTCATTCAAGCAAATACAAAGAGGCAAATCATTTCAGTACATGTGATTACTACTAAATGTAAGAAGGATACATCACTGTCATTAAGCATAGTAATAAAATAAAAAAGACAAATAGAAACAATATTTACTCTGTAACAAATACCAAGCAAATATGAAATGGTTTATTCCTATAGACACCAATACTTAGAAGTGGATCCAAAAGTCCATGGGAGGCATTGCCTCCATTGTCTCTAATGATTTAGATCAGCTGTTTAAAGCACATCCACTATCAAAAAATCACTTGTTATGATCACTCCGTCTTACTAGACACATTCATTCATGCTATGAAACGTATGTGCATTTCACAGGTGATAACTGAAGTGTATTTATTTCTGGTACACAACAAAAAGCTAACAGCACCAAAGGGAAAACCACACTATTTTGCCTGCTAAATACAGGACCGATTGGTTAGGAGTTCTGTGTTGCTGCTGCTAGCACATGAAGTAGCAAAAAAAAAACCAAACAAAAAACAAACAACCAAAACACCCAAAACACCCACGTTTCCAAGTTCACAGTTGAGTATTAGAAGCAAAAGCCATCTTGGTTTATGGGTATTTCAATATTGTGGAATTATGGAAAGAGTAAAATACTGAAATGTCTCTTCATACCAGCTCATCTGGCTAACTACGTAATAAACACAGTATTACCATCTCCTTATATTAAACCACTTTAAACACTCTTTTTATTTTCCACAATGCAAGTACTTCGTCTGCTAAGGGATTAGAAAAGTCCATCCACTCTGCAAATGTCTCTCTACCTATGTGGTATGAAAGTTTATTCCCTGCATGGTTACAAGTTTATCCCTAATGTCTTGCAGAGAGAAACAGAGTTGAATGCAAAATTTGAGTATCATAGCTCTAAAATTTGGGGTAACACAGGAATGTGGGAAAATAATTTACTATGTAATCATGTCCTGTTCCCAGAAAGCTTCTGAAATCCTATTAGCAGCAAATTTAACATACGCTTTCCAAAACAAGTATCATTTTTAAAAGATGGAAAAACACACTCTAATTTCACATCTACTGGTTTTGCTATACCAGATTAAACAGGAACAACTAAGAGAAAGGCAGAATGGGTCAAAAGGTGATCAGAATGTCTAAGTCCAAAAGAAGGCAAAAGACAGAACCTGTGATTAAATTTAGGTAAAAGGAGACAACTGGTAAAAAAGACCCCTCCAAATCTGAAAGATTGCATAGTGAGTTATTTCAAGGTATATTATATAGTTTGTCCTTAGGTTTTGTATTTGTATTGCATCTTGATTGATATCAAACTTACCTCTACAAAAATGGATGGAAAACCATGTGCTTTAAAATGGCTCCCTGTCTCCCAAGCTGATCTTTTTAACTTCTATATTAACTGAATTAAGCAAGCTAAGCACTTCAAAAGTAAAGAAATAACAAAAATTTAATTCAGTCAGACTCTAAATCCTACACTTTTCTTTAATACACACTATTTGGATTGTATTAGAAAAGGACAAGTTTACAAAAAAAAAAACACAACAACAAAAAAACCCACAACTTGCAAAGTATCCAGAGCTACCCTGTAAGAGCAAAACGCAACAAAGCCAAAAGCTAAAAGGTACTACTTCACCTGTCTTCTAAAACCTTGATAGTGTCATGAAGTGCCTTTTGCTGTTCTCTGAGCTGCTGGTTCTTGGTATAAAACTCTTCAAGCCTCTCTGCATCCCTAAATCAAATAGAGAAAAAGTTAGTTCTAGCTTTAAATTACAGCTATTAGTTCTTCAACAGAGAATTCTCTCTGGCATGTTTCTTTCACATTCTTGGGAAATGTGATTATCATCAGCACAAATATTAAGTTGAAGATAAATGAATAATAATAATAAATGAAGAAATGATGAATGGTAATTTAGAAATATCTGAGGAAAGGAGCAGGTAGTTTCTAATTCACTACAGTTGAGCTTCTGCTGATAAATCTGATTTTTCCTCAGGACAAAAACTGAAGTTGATGACAGTCACGGCATAAAAGCCAACAGTATTCTAGCAACAATTTCAGGGAATGTAAGCTTAAGCACTTCTCTTATTTTACTGCATTTCTGAGCTGTTGGGAAGCTAATTGGGGGTTTTCACAATCAGGTCATTTTGGTCTTGTCTTAGCAGTGAGTGCATCTTGCAGTGTTGCAAACCACATTAGGTTTGTAAAGCTCTGACAAGTCTTTAGATCCATTAGAGATTTAGTTCCTCAAGAAGCAATTCTCAGAGTCTGCAGAAGAACATGAGGAAGGGAACTCTCTTCCCAGAAACCTCATAAACAGAAGATCTTGAGGAAAATATCTTCTGTAAAAGCTAGGACTAATTAATTAACAAAGAACATTTCCTCCTCAAAAGAGCTAAGGAAAAGCGGTAATATTAACTTCCCAATTTTAATTCCCCTTCGCTTTTTCCCAACACCTCTTCAAGATGCAAACAAGGCATGAGCCACAAGCACACATTTTTTTTTTCTACAAGGAAATTAGTTTTCAGTAAAAGCTTAGCAGCTGAATCCATGTTACATGACAATGACTGACTTCTGAAAATTCATTCCCAGCTCTTCTTTTTACCATGGAATCCTTTTTGTATTCCATGAAAGCGGGTGTTTGTTTTCACCGTGCCTGGGATGGATTATTTGAGGAAGCCATGAAATTGGCTCACAAAAAGCTGCAAAGCACACACACAACAGGAAATGAAAACATATTTACTAACTTGTTAATACAACTCTTTTACACAGACATACTTTTAAATTGGCGCTATTCCTCTAAGATACGTTAGTTAAATACATTTTCATATTTCTATAATTAGAGTAATACAAGAAATTAACAATCATGGGTCATAAAGTGAATGGACAGCCAGAGACTTCCACAGTATACAATCACAGACATATTTTATTAATTGTGAAATTTAAGAACAAATATTTTGTTTTTCTGTACTACTATCCAGACCAATATTATCCTTTTCAGCTGCATATACAATATATAAAACAGTCATATGCAAACAGCATGAGGGACCATTTAAAACTTGCACTTTCTCTTGGGGAGGACAAAGTGCTAAAGTTCTGTTACCTCAGTTCATTAACCAAGCACAGCCAGGCCATGGCAAAATTTGAAGTCTGACAAAAGCAGTCTGTATTTTTCAGATGTTTATGGCATTAAAAAAAAAAAATCTTTTTTTTCAGCTTAGTTTTCAGCAACTTACAGAAGGTCTAAAATATCAAATTTTAAAATCTTTCTCAAGTTACCTTGAAGTCATTCTATTGCATTAAGTTATTAAAAAAAATATTAACATACACTAATACTGCATGCCTTCCACTTAAACCCTGTAAAATGTCACATTAAGACAGTAAAAATGACAGAAGGAACTAGGCACTTTTTTTAAAAATAAAAAAATCCAGTGCACCTGATAAACATGACAGACATTTTTGACTTTGAAGGCACTCTGCAGAATGAACAGTCTCTGACCTAGCACTTACAAGTCATTAGCTCCAATGCTGAAGTGGGGTACAAAATAAGGCACTCATTGTCAGCTGATTACCAAGTCCAAAATACTAAACCTCAGGTATTCGGATGCACCAAGAAGGACAAGACCTCCTATGTAAAAGTACTGTATCTACAATGTGATAATTGTAGAAAGATTCCAACAAACAATAATAAACCATTTGGTATGTGTTCGGTCACATCACTAATAATGTTAATCATATAGAAAATTAACTGATCAATTTAAGATTTTTAGAATGTGGAAGCAACTCACGACACACCAGGTTAAGTTAACAATAACAGCAAGAGATAATTTCATCCTTTTACATTAAAAATGAAAGAACTACTTCATTTATGAATTATACATAAGAAATAAGATGTTAAATTGATTTTTTTCCAGGAAAGTAAGTGTACCCTTTAAGTGTAAAACATAGCACCAAATATCTGCTAATTGACAGTCATCTAATAACATAATATAATTTAATCTACAAACATAAAAATATCCTATGTGATACTGCAATATCAATCTTAATGTTCAGCAAGCATATATTTCAAATGTAAACAACACATATGCTGTTTGGATTTTAATGAAAGATCCGATAACATTCCATGATACACCCTGAATTCAATATCTTGATAAATCTTGTATGAATTCATATTTCCAATTGACTAAAAATTCACCGACAGATCAAATAATATTGCCACTTTTAAAAAAAAATAATTTGTGACTGATGCACAATTAAGCAGCAGCTGCAAATACTACACACTATGTTCTACTAGTGCTGGAGACTGAACAAGAAGCTGTATAAAAGCTGACAAATCTCAGTCCTGAGGAGCAGGTGCATATGTGGGGGAACAGGGAGTAGCCACATAAGTACTCTTGGGATTGTAAACCCCACTGTAGATTTGGTGAATCACACCAGCTCAGCAAGCATCCAAGTGACACCATGCAGACAAAAGTCAAAACCATAGGCAATTATCTATAGCCTTCACAAATGAGACCTGTATGAATGCAGCTGAAGTGTGAGAAAACACAACACTGAGCACAGGCTCAAAGCGCTACCGTGGATTATCAAATGTCAGCAGGATGGGAGATATTTAACTGAAATAAACAAAACACAAGCTCAGAGGAGGTTTGAGCACTACAAAGGGTAAACAAAACCAAAAAAGATATCTAGGGAAGGGAGCAGCATTACACAGCTGAAGGCAACTTCTTCCAAAAGCCTAGTGAAAAGAAGCAAAAACAACATTCCTGGAAGCGAGAGTTATAATTACAGAAGAAGAGTTATAATAAAAGTAGCCAGCAAGATAAGTAGGTACTGTATACAATGACATTATACTAGAAAAGCCAGTATCATTTTAAGATGCATTTACATACTTCATGTTACAGGAAAAGGAAAAATGGATTCCACTAGAGGGAATTTACTCCTATGGAAAGCCACTTTTGTTTCCTTCCCAACCAGAAATATAAGCACATGAGGGAGCTTAGACAATAACTATCAAAAACGCTAGAGAGTTGCATGAGTTACTATTGTACAAAAAAAAAAAAGCACATGATGACCTAATTTTTCTAGACTAGGGGAGGGTTATTTCCTCTTATACAATTTGAAAATGTAACTAAAAAAAGAGACAACTGAAAAACCTAATAGGTATTACTGAGGAAGAAAATTGGCTAGAAACGTTAATTCCGAAAAAGCACAAACTATGCTTGAGAGCACTGTGGCTAGACTTTAAAACTAAGGTTGTATTATCTTCGACTTCAGATGGCAATGCTGGGAATGCAAATATGGAGTATTTTTGCTTATTTCAAGAAGAGCTTAATTTCTTTAACATATCTAATATAATTATATTGTTTTCCACAGTGGAAGAAGATGATGCAATTTATTTCTACTTCTCCTACACAGCACTTTATAAAGCGCAACTCATAATACAGGTCATATGCAATATTAATGTAATTAAACCTGAAGTCAAAATTTGAATAATCACATTAGCATATCTCTTATCATTTAATTAAATATGGCTTTCGTCAGCAGAAGGAAAATAAAAGCTGATTTAATGCTGTAAATACATATTGTGATTCTACTGTACATGTAAATCTTGTAATTCAGTTATTTTCCCCTCCAAATTGCTTCTAATGACAGAACTAAAAATTAGTAGCAAACAATGACTGCAAAAGAAGTTCTGTATGTCTTAAAATATAAGAATTGACTGAAAATTAGCATGGTTATTACCAGAATCTTTACTGAAAGACTGGAAGCTGAGTTAAGGCACAACATCTGACATTAAAGGCAAACATGTAGTGAAAAAAAAAAAAAATCTAAAAATGTTGGCTTGTTACTAACTTCTCTTTTACAAATTTGACCTCAATTTTAAAAACATCTCCCTAATTATCCTTCGTATCAGAAACGTCAACATCTCGATAGGCATCCTAGAAACACCGTAGATAAGAAAACCCTATAAGTCTTTTGTTCAAGGAAGGCAAACCTAGCATTCAGCTTAGACATTCTATAAAGAGTTATGCATTTCTTTAGATTACTTCAGCTGAATTATTAAAGTGAGCAGAGTTTTGTACACATCTGAAGGAAGAATCCATGAAAACTCAACTGATCTTACAAGAATTACAGCTCGTTAATGGTACTCACACTCTCCTTTAATAAATTATATCATTAGGATGATTACTTACAAGCATCTTTCCTTTTTCAACTTAGATATTTTCAGCTGTAGGCCTGAAAAGTGGAAAGAAAATACATGTTACACAATGCTGATTCAAAAAAATGAGTGAAACAATAAACTAACTCCCCTTTTGCCAATGACACCTTCAAAAAGAGAGAAAAAAGTCACTAATTTGGAGAGAAAATGGTTCATTCTGGACTTCTTGAGTATGTTCTATGGGATCTTGGAAACAAATATTGCTATTACGGTCCATAGGAAATAGGGAGTTCTTAAACAAACATGCAGAATCCTACTTAAACAGGTATAAAAACATCTTTCTAAAAAATCCACACATGAATACCAAGTGCTATCGATGTATTTTCATTGACTATACCTACCTATGTAGCATAAAGTATATTCTGCATACACACAAATGCATAATACTACACTTGAAATGTAGCATCCAAACAGTGAACTGAAAAATGCATTACAATGTATTTCTGTAAAGGACACATTACAAAAATACGATTCTAAGCACAGAAGGACAACATATGCTATTTGAGGTATGCTACCAGACACTCTCAGCCAAAGCTTCTTTGGAACCTCTTAAGGTGAGGTGAGGAATGATATTTCTTCTATGGCCCTTCTCCCACTAAGGCCCACACTGTTAGACGTATGTTCTATGTAAAAACGTTTGCAAATACAACTGATGCTCTTGACAGGAGTGGCCAGCTGACAGCCCAGGGGCTAGACAGCAGTTCAGCCAGTCTGCTCGCAAGGTTTTGGGTGCACAGGAACAGGAAGATAAAGGTGCTTTAAGTACAGCACAGTTTAACACGTAGGATGCAGTGCTGTGGAAATTCATGTGACACTACCCGCACAAAAGCTGGCTGTTCCTGTTCTAAATAAATGGTCAGAAATAATAAGACTCCAAGGGTATATAACATTTTCTTAAATATAAATTCAACAGAAATTTTCGTAAGACATCAGAAAGTAACGTAACACAATTTTTCCCTAACGCCGTGTTTTCTTCAAACTATGAAAAGCTGCAAGCAGCTTCAGGTTGACCATAAGGTATCTTACAAGCTTTCTTGTGAAAGCATTAGTTGTTTAGGATAACATCATAAACTTAGGAAACCAGAACACTTTAAGAAAACTTCTGACAATTCTGAATTTAAACCAAAACACATACCCAATATTGCATCTCACTACAGAAAATGTAGGTTAAGGCAGCTAATAGACTACTTTCCATTCCCTAACCACACTCAACTGGGAACAGCTCAAAGGGAAAAACTACTGGCTTAAGAAGGTTCACTCTTCAGGCTGCTTACAATGTAGCAGTCAGGCCAGCCAGAGCCTCCCTGAAGACATGCCACAGGCTGCTACAAGATGGCAGTGAGACAATGAGAGAAAAATGCACAAGAGGCTACTTAAGAAAAAAAAAAGTTCTTAGGAAATATAGCAAGACTTCTTTTCTCTCTAAGTGTTCAGCACCTGTGAAATGTTATGTTCTATCATGCAGATCAGCATAGAAAGAGGGTTTATTTTTTTTAAGTAGTTGCTATTCATCAAGCCAATTAGGCATCTGCAGTTAGAATCCCTATAAAGCATGTTCCACGCCCATCAGAAGGAATGAAGCTGCACAACAATGCATCTCCTGTATGAACAGGTAGTCTGTTCAGCAAGTATTTAGGATTGTAACATTGGCAACCTGAGCCACAAACTGAGGAGGCAGCACTCAAAAGGCCCAGTACCGTGCTACAGGTAACACTATCTCCCCTCTCACCTGAATTCAGGAGAAACCAAACTAGTTGCTTAAAGGCTGCATTTTTTCTTAATTCAAATGACTGCCATGAGAAGGCAGGAAATCAGTTTGTTACATTTATCCAAGAGCATTGAATTACCACATCAAGTATAATCTCTTCCTTTTGCTTTTCCTGAGCATTGGGAGGTTTTACGCATACTCATTTAAAGAGCTTTGCTTTTTCAGATTTCCTTATTTAGCACTCTAGTGAGCACATAAACTTCTGTGGAACTACACTATACAAATTCTCAATCCAATTTTATCTTTCACACAATATTTCTATGGAATAGACAAGCTGCAGACTATATAAATCTACATTATCTAAAGCTCCTAAGTGCTTTAGTAAATGACACACTGTCCCTATTAAAGTGATGGAGACTTTCTTTAAGCTATCATTAGGCAGATTAATTAAACACTCAACACTTATGAAACTTGCAACTTGATTAGACTTTGTACCAGTAATATTTCAATTAATGGCTATGACAATTTCTTTCCTGACGAATTTTCAAACACATTAAATGACTTTCTTCAAACTGACAGTGCCTGGGAAGACTGCAGCACCGTTATCGCTGAAATTTTCTTGGAACAGGTTGGACAAGCTTCTGTCAGCAACGACACAGACGTAATCCTACCTTAAGGGTATAGAGATGGACTAGATGGCCTCCTAAGATCCCTTCCAGCCTTGTTTTCTATAATTGCTTACTTTTGAGGAACTTCTAGCCATTTCCTTTCCTATAGCAATCTATCAATGAGATTGCTTTCCTCATAATTTTCTCTGCATCTAGGACTACAGTTTTTTCTCCTGTTGATATCTTCTGCTTTTCACAGGTAAGGAACAATTAGAAAAAAAAAATAGGCTATTTCTTGTACTCTCCTCACATTTCTATGTTGAAATATGTTTCTTTTTAGTATAGAGCTTTAGAGTTGAATTCACCATCAGGAATCATGTTGATAAGACTTACATGCAGCAAGTATCCATATAATTATTTTGAACTAGATGCAAGTATTAACACCTGCAGAAATTAGTCACTTTATGAACAGCATTATTAAATTCCTTTCTAATTTGTGAGCACTATGCAAGTATTCCACACATTCTACAGGTAGGAAATAAAAGTAAATATAGTTTTAATGACCATTATTCTGAA